AAGGCAGCTTGAGCCACGCCGGTGCCGTTTTTTCTTACTGTGAGTGTGTTGTCGTTATCAGTTAGTGGGAACGCCTGAGGCGGCCTTCAACAGGAAGCCGAGTGGCTTGACCCTGCCCTTCCTGCTTAGTAAGTGGCCACTAGCTCTGCTTACGCGGGCCTTGGAGGGAGGGCTGGGTGTTCCGGCTGCTGGCTGTGTGTGTGTGCGTGTGTGTGTCCAGTGTCCGTGTATATGAGCGAGAGAGGGAGATGCAGAGAGATGGACCGTTGGATCCTGTAGGCCGTGGTGAATGCCTTCAGTTAAGGCAATGGTGCACCTCTTCCCCGCAGCTGCTTCCTGGGCACAAGTCCCTGCTGTGGCGCATCCTCTTCCTAAGGAAGTCACTGACCATATTGACTCGTAGTACAGGGACAGTTTGACCGGAGCCTCTTTCAACTCCCCTTTTGAGAGCTCGGCCCTTGGGGAGGATATGCGGGGACGCCTGGGGACCGCCCCTGCGCACAGGGCGCCAGGCACAAATGGCGCGGTGCGCCTGCAGCGGGAATCTGGGGCCCGGGTGAGGACGTGGGCCGGCCGCAGCCTGCCTTGCACCCTTCTCAGTCAGCTCGTGCATCTGTTGCTTCGGCAGAGCTGTCTCCTGCCTGAGACCTTCACACGGGGAACCAGGCTGGCGCGACTCTTGACCACGAGGCGGGGAGTGGGGGGGGGTGGGGGGAGGTCTGTTACCTGGTGAGAGGAGGCCAGCCAGGCCTGGTGGGGACCGAGCACGGGGAGGGGGGTGCGAAGGCAAGGGGTGGCCCAGAGACAGATCAGTGCAGCAGGAAACTGGAGCTGGAGGAGCCCTCAGGAGTCTCTGGAGATGAGAGAGGCGGAAGTGGGCATCTCAGCTGAAAGTGCGAGGGGAGCCCACACCCTTTCAGGTGGCGTTTTAAGGAAGAGAGTAACTGCAAAATCCGGGGCCCTGGTGGGGGAACCCAGACGGGTTCCCTCCATGTGACTCTTAGCTGGTGGCACGAAAGCTCACAAACCATCTGTTAGGATGGAAGGAGCCCGGTGGCTACAGGTGTGGCACCAGCATCACCTGGCCAGGACTCAAATCCTGACTCCTGACTCCAGGTACTTGTTGTCTGCATGATAAAGGGCAAAGGTCACTTTATCTTTCCAAAGCTCTCACTTGACTCGTCTGTGAAATGGGGGATAATCACAGTGATTGTTGTCAAGAGTAAATGAGAGACTATGTGTTAAATATTTTGTATGGAGCCCAGTGGTAGTAAATAAATACTCACTAAAAGTTAGCTGGTGTCATTGTTGGATGTGTGTCTGACTTATGTTGGTGGAAGGAAAGAACAATTAATGATTGTAAAAAGAACACATCTTATTTCTTATTTAATGAGATCAGAACAAAGCATATCCTTCAGACGATTCTTTTTGTGAAATAAAGGGTTACAAAATTAAGTTTTATGCAAAGGAAAGGCATCTTAAAATCTGTTATTTTAGGGGCGCCTGGGTGGCTCAGTCGGTTGAGCATCTCGGCTCAGGTCATGATCTCACGGTTTGTTAGTTCGAGCCCCACATCGGGCTCTGTGCTGACAGCTCAGAGCCTGGAGCCTGCTTCGGATTCTGTGTCTCGCTCTCTCTCTCACTGTCCCTCCCCTGCGTATGCTCTGTCTCAAAAATAAGTAAAACATTGAAAAATTTTTTAAAAAATGTTATTTTATTATTTTTATTTGTTAAGTGATCTCTACACCCAATGTGGGGCTTGAACCCATGACTCTGAGATCAAGAGTCGCATGGGCTACCAACTGAGCCAGCTAGGCACTCCTTAAAATTTTGATTTTTAAAAAAAATTTTTTTAATGTTTATTTTTCAGGGAGGGGGAGAGAGAGAGAGAGAGAGATACAGAGACAGGGCATGAGTGGGGAGGGGTCAGAGAGAGCAGGCTCTGAAGCAGGCTCTAGGCTCTGAGCTGTCAGCACAGAGCCCGACATGGGGTTTGAACCCACAAACTGTGAGATCATGACCTGAGCCAGAGTCAGACACGTAACCCACTGAGCCACTCAGGTGTCCCTGATTTATTTATTTTTTTTGACTGCTGTCAAAGGATTTCAGTGACAATGTTTGTGCCTGTTGTCATGTTTGCAGTGAAAATCGGTACGTTTTTCCATTATCAAAAAATAGAATAAAATAAAGCCCCAGACCAACATAAGTTCAGGTTAATTCAAGAAACGTTGCTAGGAATTGGTCCTGGGAACAGCAGAGTATTTTTTGGTATGTGTTGAAGAGCTCTTGTGTCCTGACCCTGCCTGGATCCTTACTGCACTCCTCCAAAGGGTGCCGTTTTATGTGGCATTGTGACCGTGTGCCTGTGAACAGGGAAATGTTTAGATAGGGTGATGCTTCCTTTATAAATAAGGAATTCTTTAGTCTACTTCTGTCTGCAAAGAGTACTCACATAGATTCCTTAGTTTTTTACTCCTAAGGAATTAAATTTATCAAACCACATATTTTACAAATGAAGACAAATTCTTGTCATCTTATGAAACCAAAGTCTCTAATGAAAATCAAGAAATGAAGATTCCGGGGGCACCTGATGACTCAGTCGGTTAAGCAACCGACTCTTGGTTTCAGCTTGGGTCATGATCTCTTGGTTCATGAGTTAGAGCCCCGCATGGGGTTGTGCGCTGACAGTGCAATGAATGCTTAGGATCTCTCTCTCCCTTTCTCTCTCTCTGCCCCTCCCCTGCTTGCTCTCTCTGTCTCTCTCAAAATAAATAAATAAACTTAAAAAATTAAAAAGAAAAAGAAATGAAGATTCTGTATGGCTTGACAAGTTTCAGTCATACAGAAGGTTGTGTCAATGATACCGTTAAGCTTCTACTCTCCGACTTTAACTTTAGACCCTGAACCTTCCCCCACCTTCATTTCCCACCTCAGTTGTGCTCTCCCTGGTCACATTAATATTGCTCTGAATGATGAAAGTGAGGAGAAGAATAACAACACAGTGGTTAAGAGCGTGGCCTGTGGAGCCTGAGAACCAGAGTTTGCATCTGGATCTGCCACTTAATAGCTGGACCGTCTTGGAGAGGCTACACGTCTTCTCGATCTCATGTCCTACGTGTATTTCAGCTGTGAATGGGGTGTTAATAGTACTTTCTCAACTGTACTACCTTTGCTGTGAGGATTAAGTCATGAGTTTGCAAGTGTAGGGTACTTAAATTTGTCACATGGCAAAGCACTATGTATCCATTAACTGTAATTTTAGAGCATTGTGATAGAGTCCTATGAGCTGCTGTGGCAAACATGCCTCATATCAGTGACTTAATTTAGTAGAAGATTGTTTCTCATTATTTGAAGTCTAACATGAGGTTGTTTTTTTTTTTTTTTTTTTTTTTTTGGACTGGTGGGGACCTATCAAACCAGGTGGCACTTGTTCTTAATAAAAATATTCACATGTTAGAATAGCTACCCTAAAAGAGGAGATCTTTCAGCTGAACCCAGCGTTAGTCATATATGGTCTGTATTTAGACCCAGCCCCAAGAAGCTGCTGATAAAGATATACCATGGGACTACTTTGGGTTTTTCAGGTCAGAGTTTTTAAAAAGTCCTGCAGGAGGGAAGTTGATGATTTGGAAAGGGGCAGGGGGTAAAAGTAAGCTGAAATATAGGAAAGCAAAGAAGTAGTTCGGTCTAGATGAAAGTAGAAAATTGTGGTCCATGTTGAGGGCAGGGAGGAAGGGGACTTTGGGTTTGGAATGTTGTTAGTGATTGAGATGTGTCATAAGCGGGTCTGGAAGCAGAAGCTTCTCACAGTGAAATCAGTACGGTTGCACATCACCAAATAGGTGAATCTGAAGTGATAGCAGCCCATTAGGAAGGGTGGATGAAATGTCCCACACAATTCTGAAGGGATAGTAACAGATTCATAGACATCTCATCATAAAGAGAAAGCAAGCAGAGTAATAAGGCTGATTAAGTCAATAGAGAGTATTAATGTGTTTCTGGCATCCAGAAATAACTACAGATACGCCTTGTCTACAACAAACTTCGCGTATTTGAAGTAACAGGACTTCGCTAGGGAAAATTAAAATATTTCCTCACTTCCTAAGGATTTTCCCCTAGTCTTTGTTTTCAGACCTCATTAGCTTAAAAGTATGATTTTATGAACTACCTTGAATTTGACATAAATCATTGCAAAATGATACTTTACAGCTAAACTAGTCTTGAAATATTTTTTTCCCGTTGACAATATTTCAAATAATACTATGAAAGTGAATACGTTATAATAAATTATAAATTTATCTGGACTTTTCCTCATTAGGTCAATACATACATAAATCAAGTGTGTTGATATTCCTTTGTTATTTGCTTAGTTTTGCTTATAGCGAAGACAAATCTGGAATATCTGATATAGTCTACTTATATATCAGCCGTTAGATAGATTTTCTGACAACTAATTTAAAAAATTGGGTATCAAAGCATATTTCTCCATGAGAAGGCAAACCATAAATTTTGTGGTTTAGACTTGTAGGGCGTATTTAGAGCTAAATTAAGTTGACTTGCATTGAATTTAAGAGCTTCTAATGCAAATGCAGTCACCATGCATTTTATATGAGGTTGCCATTAAGATAGGCAGATATTCAAACTAACAGTATTGGAATGTGCTTTATAGATTAGGGATGTTTTAATATTATAGTAGGGAAATAAAAAAAGTAATTCCACCTAAAATCTACCTTTTCTCTTTTGTTTCAGATCTCCTAGCTTTTGAAAAGTTCTAGAAACAAAATAAATTGTTTCCATACCTTCTGTTGGGGTTACATGGATTAAGAATTTTCCATCTTAGGGGCGCCTGGGTGGCTCAGTCGGTTAAGCGTCCGACTTCGGCTCAGGTCATGTCTCACGGTTTGTGAGTTTGAGCCCCGCATCGGGCTCTCTGTGCTGACACCTCGGAGCCTGGAGCCTACCTTGGATTCTGTGTCTCCTTCTATCTCTGCCCCTCCCCCACTTGTGCTCTGTCACTCTCTGTCTCTCAAAAATAAATAAATGTAAAAAAAAAATTAAAAAAAAAGAATTTTCCATCTTCATTTTTTAGGAATTGTTCTTCTACTTCTGGGCCTTTTGCCAGATCATTGCCCTCTGTCACTCAAAAGTCCAAGAGGCTTAAAAAAAAAAAAATCACGAAATATATTTCCGTGTTTCTAATTCTTTGTTTTCAGAATAAAACTCAGTCCTATAAAGCGAGATACATAGCATTTGGTGACCTTAGTCCTTCCAATCATTGCCTCAGGTGTGTGTGATGTAAATGCCAGAAGCCCAATGGGAAACATTCGCCTTCTCGTGGAAATGAAAGCAACTGACTTGTCAGTTTTAAGTGTTTCTTGCACGGCTCAACTTTGCAGAGGACAATGGCAGGAAAAAAAGGAAGAGAGGCGAACCAAGAGGGAATGGAATTCTGAAAGGAGCTAAGAAGGTAATGGGTAGGATGGTGAAGATAAGAGGATGGAGTGTTGAAAAGTTGATTCTCACAGCAGTTCCGTCTCGTGCTGCTTGTTGCCCTGCTGGTCCCCATCAAGGACTGTACTATTTATTATTACAACATGTCTGACTTGAGGCCTTTGCTGGCGTTTGAGGCCGTTTCCATTCCACAGTGGTTTCCTACCTTGAATATATTCTTTCTGCTATGGTGAGAAATAGCACTGACAGAAAAAGGGTAAAACGGAAGCGTGTATCTCTTGAAGTGATCGATTTACCGTGGTGAGCCTAAGTCACCAGAGCGTCCCGGCACCATTGACAAGCACCTGCTTTACCGCGAAGGGTTCTCCGACTGAGCAAGGGCTATGCCAGCTGCAAGGGCTGAACAGCCATATGTCAACTATAAGTGGCAAATACTCTCAAACGAGTGGAGAAGCAAAAAGTCTTTGTTTTACTCTGTGCAGACTCTATTATGGAGATTGAAAGCAGTTTCTATTGCTTGGGTGTGTAAGTTGCCTTGAAATCCGAAATTAACAGGACTCTATCAAATACATGTCGAAGGAAATTCATTTGGCATGGAGATAACTGACTCCAGTAGAGATTGGCTTTTGTACATATGAAAAAAGGTCAACATGGAGGTATGTGAGGAATGCTTTCTTAGGTCATGTGTGTCTAAGAAAGCAAGCAAATAAACATCTTCTCTTTGTGTGCTGAAAGGCCGGAAGCACTGTCTGTTGGCATACCACAACTACTCCCAACTTCTGTGAGTCCATTTTTCATGACCTCTGTCATCTAGAAAACTGGCTAGGCAAAGGTTTTGGATTCCAACTCCTTTTTATACTTAGACTGCTGGCTCCAAAGACAGAACTTGTGATAACGTTAGGTTTACACACGTGTGTGCTTGTCTGCGTGTGCTCACAACCCCCCGTGAGTTTCTTCAGATGCTCAGGGAAAAGTGTGGAAAGCCTGATGCCTTTGGGAAGGACTCAGGAAAAAAGCTCAAAAGAAACTCATTTTCCACAGAAATCCTATAAACCGGTGAGGCCCTGAATACCTCCAGAATAAAAGCACAACTCAGAGTTTGCAGGAAATCTTTCCAACCTTCTAGTTATCAAAATACCATGAACATATGTGGGCACAGAGTTTTCATTAGCTTTTGTAAATAACCAAACCGGAATACGTGTAAGTTTCATATAACTAGAGACATGGTTTAGGAAAAACTCAGACTTTACTCAAGTCATTTATGAGATTTAAAAAATGATTTTCAGAAGGGAATGTACATTACACTTACGATAAAAAGAAGTGAGGGGAAAAAGGGCATCTCTTTTTTTTTTTTATACAAATGTGATGTCATGTATCAAAACATTTTCAGCAGTAGTACTGGATGAAAAGAAAATTAGTAGTAATGTATTAAAACAATGTTTTAGCAAGCTGTTGGTAGCAGAAACACCCGATTCTAATTGGCTTCAGCAAGGAGGAAATTAATTCTTTCACATAACCAGTGGTCCAGAGGTAGAGAAGGCTCCAGATGTCCCAGTGCAGTGCTCTGGTTCTCAGTGGCTCCTGCTTCTGTGAGATTCTTTTTGCTTTACGCTCATAGCAGCACCAGCCACACTTTCCAACTCCTTATCCGGATGTAGCAAAAGCAGAGACAGAAAGGTCTGTTTCTTCTAGCGTTTTCCTTTTTGGGAGCGAGGCACACTTCCCCAGTGTCCCTCCAACACATAGCCACCACCAGTATCAATATTCAATCCTGTTTTGAGTCTGAGAGTCAGACCTGCCTCTGGGGTCGGCTCACTTGACGGGGAACCAGACCTTGGACATAGTGATCGTCTCATTCAGGATTCACACGTGAACTGAGAGCAAGGTCACACACCATCCCTTGAAGTGTGTGATGGGACGGACACACTAGCTTTGCTAGCAAGGGTTAAGGGGGGGGTGGGTGTTGAGTAGGCAACCGGAGGTATCTGGTACATGATGGAACATGATGGAAAAGACTGAATTCTTAAAAACACGGTAAAATGTGTCTATCAAATGAAACCTTTGGTTTTCTAGGTTACTTTAAAAATTAATATTTTTGTACGTAGTTATTTTTGTAAAGAGAAGATACATTTTGCTAAAAAATAAGAATTTATCTTGAAAAATATCCTGAATAGAGCAATTACAGCATTTGGCACTGGGTTGGGGTTGAACATCGTTTTGTCTTTTTCACCAAGAGTGAGGGAGTTGGAAGTCCGTAGCTGAAACTCATCTTTGATCTGTTTGGGACAGCTGTTGGCTTCCTTGCTAAATCTCATGAAGTAATGTCCAGATGAAATAAGAGTATTTAGACTTGAATCAGCTTTCAAAAAAGTCACTCGTACTTGAAAGAGGGTTTGGCAGTGAGATTAGTGAGAAAGATACTATTGTGTCTTCATAGAATCTTGCAATATGTGGATTTTTGACAAAACTTTGGGGTCTCCCATCATTGTCACTAGAATGATAATGGCAACATCTCTCCTTTATTCATCACCTGCATGTTCTGCCAGGCCCCATGCCCATTGAGTGGTATGTTCATCTTTTTTTAAAAAAATGTTTCCTTAATTTGAGAGACAGAGAGAGCAGGGGAGTGGCAGAGAGAGAGGGAGAGAGAGAATTCCAAGCAGAGCACAGACCCCAACGTTGGGCTTGATCCCACGAACCGTGGGATCTTGACCTGAGCTGAAATCAAGAGTTGGATGCTTAACTGACTGAGGTGCACCCCCCACTTTTTTTTAATTAAAAAAAAATTTTTAATGTTTATTTTTGAGAGAGAGAGAGAGAGAGAGAGAGACAGAGTGCGAGCTGGGGAGGGGCATAGAGAGAGGGAGACACAGAATCCGAAGCAGGCTCTAGGCTCTGAGCTGTCAGCACAGAGCCTGACGCAGGGCTGGAATTTACGAACCACGAGATCATGACCTGAGCCAAAGTCTGATGCTTAACCGACCTAGCCGCCCAGGTGCCCCCGTTTTTTTTTAAAGGATGAAACCTACCTGGCATGCTCCCATCCTACAAGGGTGGCAGGTGGGCATGGAAACCAGGACTGTCCAATCTTGACGCCCGTGTTTCCAATATATCATCTTCCTTCAAAAGAAGAAACATGAATAAGGAGTGATTCTGGCCTCTATTGATGGAAAGGTGCTTAATCCAGTCCCTGGGCAGATGAATCACATGCTCCAGCCTGCCTTTTGGTTGCAGTGTGGCAGGTGTTAAAGGAAGTTCCCTTTCCCTGTCTCCCTCCCTCCCAGTTAATTCTTCTCACTGCAGTTGGTTATCCTGTTGAAGCAAAATCAGCTTTATTACTGCTCTGCTGAGAGCCATCTGGGGGCTTCCTGTGGGAGTAGAAGCTAAACTTGTAGAGGGTGTACTTGTCTACCTTCTCTGTCCCTGCCCCCCTCCCCTCCATTCCCTGACACTGTCGCCTTTTACTCTTCTCTTTCTTCACTCTGCTCCTTGTTCCATCCCGCTTACCGTTCCTCGAACCCATCAGCGCTTCCTTTCCATTTTCAGGACTTCACCTTTGAGGTATGTCCATCCCGGACTGCTCCCCCAGCAGAACCAGCCTGGTGCGTTCCCTGTTCATTTACGGGCCTGGTGTTTGTCTCCACCTACTAGAAGCTCTGTGAGAGGTTTTATCTGGTTTTGTGTATTGCTAGACCCCATGTGCCGGAATGGGACCCAACACGATGGCTTAGTAAATACCGTTGGCCAGATGATTGAGCGATTCGTCCACAGACCACAGCCCTGGCTGTGGACCCTGAGGGAGATTGACAGGAACACAGCATTGCTTACTTGGCAGACCTCCTAAATTTAGATGCCTCTGTCAGGTGAGGGATGTTCAACCCTTCCCTATCACCTGGGGTGAATCACAGTTTTGTGGTTTTGTTCGGCATCTTATAGTCTGACATTCCTCAAAATGTGGAAGCTAGATGTAATTCTTAACTGTGAGAAAACTTTTCCAGTCTGGCTTCAAGCATTGCAGAAGTCTTGAAGGCAGTCACCCAGAAGCTTCCATGTGTCGATGACTGTGCAGACCCAGAGAACACTCCAGATAATATTGACCCTTATGTAGTTTTTGCATGGTGCTGCTCGTAGATGATAAGCCCAGTGAAGGCGGAGCTTCATATCGAATCGATACTGTTTCTGCTCCCCCAGCAGCATGATGGCCAACCAAGAAGCGAAAACTAAGTCAGACTAACCAGCCACAAAGAACACGGGTAGAACAGGTGAGTCGCATTTCCAGACGAAAGATGCATAAGGCAGTGGTAGTAACCAGCTTTGACAGATTGAACCTTTGCACCTTTGCACCCTGAGTAGCGTCTGTCGCTTAGACAATATTTCTGGGGTGCCTGGCTGGCTCGGTTCGTAGAGTGTGCAACTCTTGATCTTTGGGTTGTAAGTTCGAGCCCCATGTTGGGTTCTGTGGAGTTTACTTAAAAGAATAAATCAAATCTTAAAATTTCTTTGAGCATGTGCCAGATACTGCGTTAAGAGCTAGGCATATAGTGATAGAAAACAGAGTATCCTCATGAATCTTGCAAGCAAGTAGGAGAAGCAGACATTTAACCAGGACACACGTAAATAAATGAAAACCCATGATCAAAACTCTGAGGAAAAAGAAAAAAAAAGTAGGCAGTGGGTGAGGGAGTCATGCTGGAACAGGCCAGGGGGGACCTCTTATAGAAACTCAAGGCATGACCTTTGAGTAGGTGTGAGAGTCCTGCTTTCAGGAGATTGTTTCGTGGCTTTCATTAGCAGTAGTCACAGGGAGCCTCGAAGGTCAAATCTGGATCTCTGTAAGAAGGTCCACAACATTGGGAAGTTTAATAAGATGCAGAGGTTCTAGAAAGAGAATGGCAGTTTATATCAGGCAAGCAGTGTTGCTTAGGGCAACAGGGTTCTGTTGCATGGAGTGTGTGTGTGTGTGCAAATAGCACGTGTGACCAGGATATTGAGGCAGAGGCTATGGGACGAGGGGAAGGAGTGGCGGTGGCTGTAATCCACACGGTGGAAGAATAAGCAAATACTGATGCGGGATTTACTGCAATGCTAGGAAATTCCGGGAGATAGCCACGGCAGTAGAGGTGGTTTATACTTTTTGGTCTCCGTGTTTCAAATCATAAGGCTGTGTCAAGTCAGACTGTTAGAGGAAAACACAAAAATAGAAAAAAAAAAAAAGAGTCTTCATGTCGTATCAACAAGATCAAAGTTGGTTTAAATTTGCTTTGAATGATGGCGGTTTTTAAAAATTCGCTTGCGCTAATCTAGCAACACCCGGTTGCTTATAGTGTTTTTGCACTGTTAATCCCTTGTACCTGTTAATAGCATGTAATGAGTAGCATACAGCTCATCTTTAGTCTGTGGAATATGGGTTCTGCAAAGATGACTGCTCACAATTAATTGCTTCAGCTTCTTCCATCGTCTCAAGTGATACGGGTTTCTATAGGAGGAAAACCAAACAAACCCAAACCTCCGCAGACTCTTTTGAAAACCATTTTAAAGCAACTAGTTTACGTCCACACCATAGAATTGCCATTTCTTTGCCATGATGTCCGGGTGTCAGGACCTGCAAATGGTAGCCGACTTGATGTCGAATTCTCCGCCTTCTCCCCTAAGCTCTCAGATGCCTGAATCCAGCCAGGCGTGAGGATCCTTCCATTATTGACTCAGAAGCTTGGTCCCTTTGTCGGCTTCCGTGGTCAGTCAGGCCGTTTTTCTCCCTGGCTCTGCTCAGGGTGTAGAAGGAAGCCCTGCATCATAGCCCCTGCATTTCTGAGATGCATCTGTTAAAACTGCAGTTCCCCCGAGAAGGCTGCCGCACGTAACACTCCAGGATCCGCATGGGGTTAGCGCTGTGGCTCAGTTCCTACAGGTCCTGGGGACGCCGTAATTATCATGACTTCATCCCACACATTTGAACGTTATTGTGATAAGTCTGTGATGGCAGAGAGCTTCAGAAGCTTAAACAAATCTACTTCAGGGCTCTAGCCTATACTTACAAATATTACCTAAAAGGTTACTCATAGCTAGCTTTTTTTTTCTTCTTTAAATTTTGACCCAATTTCTTTTCAGAATAGACTGGCAATTTACCTGTCTGTTCTCCATGGGCCAACTTTTAGGGATGTGATGTTGTGTGAAGGGAGTTTTTTTCATGATGTTGAAAAAAAGATATTTTAAGACAGTAAAGCATATTAATTTGTAGATTCCTTTTTTTAATGTTTATTTTTGAGAGAGAGAGAGAGAGAGAAAATATGAGTGGGGGAGGGGCGGAGAGAGAGGGAGACACAGAATCCAAAGCAGACTCCAGGCTCAGAGCTGTCAGCACAGAGCCCGAGTCGGGGCTCGAACTCATGAACAGTGAGATCATGGCCTCAGCCAAAGTTGGAACCTTAACCGACTGAGCCACCCAGGCTACCCGGTAGAAGTGTTCTAAAGAAAATAAAAACGTAATGAATTTATCCTTTTCAGAATCTTATATGTTCCAAGGACTTGGCTAACGATTTCATCAGTAAGGCTCTTCATAATAGTTATACGGGTAATTGACCTGAGGTTCGACAACTTCCTGGCGGTGCCCTGCCTGGATACCTGACCACTTGTTGTTTTTCTATTTGCATTAAGGCAGTGACCAAGATGATTTTTGAGGGGAGGGAGATATTCCTTGGAGGACAGGATAAAAAGTTAGTCTTTACTATTTTTGGTATCCCCCCCACTGCTGAGCACAGTGACCCATGTGCTGCGGATCCCAGTCAAGCCAGCTGTCGCCGACATTAAGTTCAGACTGTGACTTCCAGGGAAGAATCTCCCTGACTAAGAGAGTGGGTCACGGTGAAAGGTCCCTTGAGTCACCAAACTCTTCTGTTGATGATAGCAAAGCCAAGACCAGACGTGCCAGTGATGCTGATTTTACGTGCATCGGTCACTAACACATTTGCTGGGTTTTCATAAAATGCGAGAAAGTGAACACAGACTGACTGCTCATAAATCCGCCAAACCCCCTACAGGCAGAGGGCCTTGAGAGAAAGAAGCTAAGGGCACAGCTGCCAACTGAGGAGTGAGGCAGATAGCTCTTTGAAGAGGCCCAAGGCCACCCCATTCTCCCAGGGTCCCCTGGAGAAGTGAGGGGCAAGGCTGGCTGGCTGTCTGTGTGAGGAGATGTCTCCCAGCAGGCTGAGAACGGAAGGGTTGTGGACATGCCCGAGGCTACCCACAGAGGAATTTGGAAGTGAATAAATAGTCACATCTGCACATTCCCTTAGAAGATTTTTCACAGCTTGAACTGGCTACTAAAAGGTAGCACCCCCCTTTTAAAGAACGTTTAAAAAAAAACAAGGATGCAGTTGCTTTCTGTGAGAGTATGCTTGCTGTTGATGTTCAGCGCTCTATAAATGTATATTAAGTAAATGTTACTACCATATGTGAGTATGGTAGTGAGTATGTGAGTATTCTATTAGCTGTTAAGTTAAATCAGCTGTTAAGTTAAAACCAAAATGCCTGTCCCTATGTAGAAGGTGTGGAAAGAAACACAGTTTCTTTCTTATTTGGTCCTTCAGTATGGCAGAGTGCAGAGTTTTGAAATATTTGAAGAGTTCAGGCATTGGTATATTATGCAGGTACCAGTTGGAGACCCACATACGTCTTTTCTTTATGACGCTTCTCCAAAAAATGTTTCTCTTGTTAACGCTTAGATTTGGTTTGGGGTTTTGGTGTTTTAGACCAAACACTGGATTTAGGTAAAGGATTCATTAATGAGAATGCATTTTTCACTACTGCCCAATGAATATTTGATGGCATTTTTGTTGCCTTGAAATGGTAAGATGCTGTAAATACCTCTGAACAAGCTTTTCAAGAAGTTCATATTACTTCTCAGAAAAGCTGACGTTCGCCTAACCATGATAAGGCAGGGCTGTAGTCTCCCTCCTCCTCTTGGGTATATCTGTCTCTTATATTCAGCCAACTCCATGAAAAGGTTTAGAATTTCCCCTGAGGTTTCAGGAGCCCATAATGTTATTACCATAATTGATCGGTCTTTAACCTACCCACTTCTTAAATAAGAAGATTCACTTTTTATTTTTTCTTTTTGCCAACACCTGTAGTCAGATGGTTCCCTGTTTTTTTTTTTTTTTTTAAAGTGTGTGTCAGAAGTGGCTCCTTATAAAGACTAGGATCATTTCCTTTTCATAAAGCTTTCTGAGAATAGTGATACTGCTTTGCTAAAAATGTCTCTTCTGCAGAAGAAACTTTCCCTAAGCACGCAAACACGATGAGTGTGTGTGAAATGTGGCCAGTAACGGTAGCCATACTTGGCGAGTGACAGGAGTGAACAGCAGGTTTGTGCGTTGTCGGCCTGGGAGGGTTTAGATGTGGCCCAGCCTCCAGGTGGGAACCTGAACCGCATCCCAAGAGACATGCCTACCTCAGGAGGCTAAACACAGAAACACTCTCCTCAAACCTAGCGAGTCAGTTAATTAACTGGATTTATAATTCCATAATTGAGACTCACTCTTATGGATGGTTAGGCAGTTAACTAGCCATATGGAAGTGATGTGGAATTCTAATCAAGGTGGAATTGAATAGCAGGGTAGAAACTCGGCAGGTCCGTGGCTTCTGTGCTGTGGGAAAAAGGGATCTGGACCAAGGATGAATACCTGGTTAATAAGGTCTTGAGAAGTGCCTGATAGCTTTTTCTTTAAGACTAGGGATGCAAGATAGAACTATGAAACACGAGAAAAATGAGATTTAAGTTGAGATTGGCAAAAGGGGTATTTTATTTTTATTTAAAAAAATGTTTATTTATTTATTTTGAGAGAGATGGAGAGAGTGCAAGTGGGAGAGGAGCAGACAGAGAGGGAGAGAGAGAATCCCAAGCAGCCTCCATGCTCAGCGCGGAGCCCGATGCGGGGCTTGATCCCGTGACCCTGAGATCATGACCTGAGCTGAAATCAAGAGTCAGATACTTACCTGGGTGAGCCACCCAGGCACCCGGGGATAACACCACATCAGCCCACTGGACTTTTACTTGGTCTCTAAAACAGAACATATAAGCTGGGAGTGCATGACCAGCTATGAACTGACTTGGGTCACGGTAAATGTGATTTTTGTCCCTCTACATTTACACCTGCCTCAGTCTGCTTTGGGGTCCTGTAGCTGTCCCTGCCTCCTGCCATCAAGGCTCCCCGGCTGTGCTGTTTGGCAGGATTGGATTTTGTCAGTTGCCTCCCACAAAGGAAATGCTCAGGAGGCATATGTTGCAGCGCCTTTCCGAAATAGTTGAAGATGTCACCTTCATAAACGAAAGGACTGGATTTATTTTCTTTCTCCCTTCCCTTCTTTTGATGATCAAAAGACAGAACATTTTAAGTACTCCCATTTCCCTCCCCCCCAACCCCCTTCTTGACTGATTGGAAGAAATACTGTTACATGGCAGAATATTGGCAGTGAGTAGAAATACAAAGCAGGTTTAACATTAACCTTATGGAGGAACAGTGCAAGACCAGTGGAGTGATGAAAGAAGAGGCTTACTAATAATATTACATACTAGTATAATTAAATAAATATGGAAAATTTCGTGCATTTAGATGGTGGTCTAGATCCTAACACTTAACCACTCACTTTCAAACAGAAGCTATTTTTGTAAGCACGTAGGAGTCTAGTAATATTTTTTGGCTAGAAATCATTTAAAGTTTACATCACTGTATAGCATGGATTAAGCAGGTGCAAGGAAATTGAAGAAGAGAATGTTTAGATTTCAGAAAGTGAATTCCATGTAACTGTGAGAGGTGGAGCTTGGATTAGTGCCACAGTTTTGTGGAAGACGCTTTAGTGACACCGTGTTTCTGTGCCTGATTCTTATACACACACACACACACACACACACACACACACACACACAGAGGTACAACATGTGGGAGTATTCATTGTCCAGAATTCTAGAATTCATAATTTTGCAACCAGATATGAATTCTAGAATTCATAATTTTGCAACAGTGATTCATGCAAAATCTTTTTCTTTTTTTTTAAACCATATATTTGAATAAATTGTGAATTATGGATTTTTTTTCTTTTTTACTAGCAAAGTGGTATCTTTTGGAATGACTTCTTAATTGTCCACGGTAAGGTTTATATCTTGCTGGTCAAAACATCTTAACATACTAAGGTCAAGTTCAGAATTATAATCAAAGAAGGTACTTAAAAAAATTTTTTTTCCAGGGAGTCTGATTATAAAAGAATTTTGTAGTACCATTACCCGTAACCAAATTTTTGTCTAGTATTGTATGTCTTGGCTTCATTTTGTACATTTCTTTTAGTTTTATGATTAGATTCTTAGTAATATCTGCCTGCCACTCCCCCTTTCTTTCCCTTCCTAGGATCTGAATAAATACAGCTTGATGCATGGTCTTCATTTATTGTAGCTAATTAGAGAGATACTTGATCCTGGACATGTAAGGTGTGGTGTTATCAAGCACCGATTTATAAGCTACAGGGACTGTCCTTTGTTGATGTTATACACACCATCTCAGTACCCCTGCAAAAGAGGTGGTGTTACGTCTGTTTACAGATCAGGAAATAGGTTCGGAGAGCTTCAGGGACTCCTCCAAAGTGTCAGGTCAGGCCGCAAGAAACATAGTTGATCCAGGATTTAAACTCAGCTGTGTCTTACCCCCACACCATGGTTCTTTTTACTGTGCTGCATTGCTTTTCCTGTAACTTTTGCCTGTTTCAGAAATTAATTTATCTCCTGGAACAAGCAATTTTTTCTCTCTGCTAGGTGTTGTGACCTATTTTCTGTTTCATAAGATTTGCCAAGGACATAATTTAAGACAGTCTATGTTTTTAATTTTTCAATATGTTGTTGGTGTTTTGTTTTGAGCAAATAAACAGTAACAACAATCAGATAGTCCAGAAGCTAAATCACTGAGCCAGACTTCACACAGGAGAAACAAAGAGCTGGTAGTCATGCCAAGTGAGTTATCTCTTGCACCAGGTGCCAGTCCTTCCCTCGGGCATACGCCTTGGAGCCTTTGGGCCTCAGGAGTGCTTGTTATTGGCTTAATTATTTAGCTCAATAACTGTTCCCCTGTGCTTTCACAGTTGTACACTTCTGTATTAGAAAGGGATAAATACCTGATTGTGGTGAGGCTGTGCGAATGTAGTTTTGGTGAAAAAAAAAAGTGGATAATAAAGTAATCGTTGCATATGTTTTTTTTTAAATACGTGGAAATTAGG